CTGAAAGCGTGGCATTATTTGAGAGAAGGCTTTTATTCTTAACTCCCCCTCGCCGGGCTCTTAGGTACTTGGTAACCGTGTGTGAGGAAGTGGCAGAGGGGTGTTTGGAATTCAAGTGTGTCTGGAAGCTGTGAGAAGACAACGGTTACAAGAGGCAGCTGGGGAGGTATGGGCGGGGTAGGGCTGGGGCCCAGAGGCTTGGTCATAAAAGGGACCAGCCCCCTCCCCAAACTGGAAAGCCCACCCGACAGGAGGAAGACTGGTGAAAGGAGCCGGGTTTGGGGGGTGGGTAGCCTGCCAGGAACAGGAACAGGGATGGGAGGCTGGCGTTTGGGTGGCGAAGGATGATGAAGGAGATGTCCCCCATCCCTGGAAGATGCCAGGCTAACCTGGGGGGTGCTTCCAAAGTGTTCTCCCACAGTGGAGGCTGGGGGAGCCGGGAGCCAGACACACTGCTCTTACCTGTGAAGGCTGCCTGCCCAGTGCTCAAGTCCGAGAGTGTAGATGGTCCTGCTGGAGGTTGGGGGTGAGGAAGGAGACCGCAGTTTTTCAGAAAGGAAGTCTCTGCCTCGTGTCCTCTTCGAGCCCTTGGTCTATGAACCTCAGCTCCAATGTTTAACAGAATCACCTGGGCCGGTCCTAAAAAATGCAGATTCCTGGCCCAGAGAGTCTTTCTGGGTAGACTTGCGTAGGACCTAGAAATCTGCACTTTAACGTGCATGCCCCAGGCATTCTGGGGCAGGTGGCGGGTGGACCCTGTTCTGAGATTCCGTGCTCAGGGGCCCTCTCGCAAACTTGAATGTGCACGTGGATCCCCTGCGGGTTCTGTTAACTGCAGGTTCTGGTTCCGCCCGTCTGGAGGGGAGCCCCAATTCTGCATTTCTCACAAGCTCCCAGGCGACACTGGTAATGCTGGTCCCGGGAGCACTGTGAGGAGCACTTTTCCCAGCAGGTTCCTGGGATCTGGTTGGGAAAGACCCCCCCAGGCCTACGAAATCTGAACCTCTGGGGGTAAGCCTCAGCCATGTGTGTTTTAGCCACACCCCCCCGCTGAGGTTTGAAATGCCCTGCTAGGAGCCGGAGGCTTAAGGAAAGGGGCTGGAGGAGCAACTGGTGTGGGTAGGGAGGTCAGGGAGCTGAGCCATCTGTTCCCAGCTTCCCTGTCCTCCAGAAAGAGCCGAGACCCGTATGAATTCAGACGTTCTTCCTCGTGGGGTTGGGCATGCACACTTCCCTCTGGATCAAAATGGGGAGTTTCCCTAGTGGGTTGATGTCTTCACAGGTGGTACGACAGGTGGGCAGGACCCACAGGGAGTGGCAGTAAGGCCAGAGGTGCTGACAGCCACCAGTCGGGCTGGGAGCTGGTCCTAGGAGCAGTCAGGGCAGGAAGGACCGGGTGGCTCTGGCGGCCGGGGCAGGGTGAGTGGGAGCCCAAGCAGCCTGTGGCATGTCTGGAGCCCGTGTGACAGGTGGTGCAGCTTGGTCAGCTGGGGCCTCCGGGCTGAGCTGTGAACTAGGCTGCGCACACGCTGGGGAGCCAGGAGCAGTAGGCAGCGGGGGAATGGGTTTGCTCCCCACCTTCTCTCCCTGTGCCTCTGTTGCAGAGAAGTGAGTCCGTGTGGGTGGGCAGGAAGGCCGCAGAGACTCCCCTGGTTTGCATAAGATGTGCTCAGGGATGGCAGGGGAAGGAGAGGGTGGGAGGCCCATGGGCTGGAAACCACGCCCCTTGGCTCCGGGCCCTCTCTGTGCCCTCGCTGACCACCCGCCTCCCCAGGGAAGGCAAGTGCTTTTGTCCTCATGTGCTGGGACCCAAGCACGGAAGTCCTTTCCTTGCTGTCTCCCTCTGATTCTCCTTGAGCTCTTGGCATTCAGAACAGGCCCACAGGGACATGATCGTGGACTGGAGTCCCTGGAGGCTGGGCCCGGTCCCCAGGAGCAGCCATGCGGTTCTGGCCCTGACCCTGACGCAGGACGGGCACCAGGGTTTGCTGCTGGCTGTGCGGGGCTCAGAGCCAGGCCCAGGGTTCTTGGGGACACGCCTCAGCACGCATCTGACTGGTTTCTGGTGGCTTTTCAAGTTACATTTCTAGACCAGGTGACCCTGTGCTGGGCACTTGGGTACCACAGTCATCCGCTCACCCCTTAGAATATTGGGTGGACATCGGGGCACATTCCAGGAGGTCAAAAGCTTCAGCTGGCTAGCACCATTAAACGGGCAATACTCAGGTCAGCCCAAACCATGCCTAGCTATCGGGGTCCCAGCTACTCAAGCCAGCTGAGGCCGGCGCGCCAGGCCCCAGCACGAGGGATCAGAGCCCTGGAGGGAGGCCACGCTGCTCCCTCCTCCCAGCCCCCAGCCCGCTTGAGCTCTTGCCCAGCTGCCCTCGAGGAGCCCTTCGCCCAGAGTTACTGCAGAGAAAGCAGCCTCCCTTGAGCAAAGGGTCTCAGAAGGGTCCTGCCAACACTTGGGGTGGTTTTCTCTTTGTCTTCCAGGTCAGCGAAAGTCCAGGTTCCCAGGCACGCGAACCTTTCCCTCCTTCCTGCGGCCCCACCCCTGAGGTGACCGCGGTCACCTGGGGGTGCGGGTCCCACCTGGGGACTAGTGACACGGGTGCTTCCTCCTGGAAGCTCCTGAGAAAATGGTCTCCTCCCTGCTCATCCCAGGAGGCCTCCTGTTTTGGGGGAATCAAATGAAAGGACATTATCCTTCCTTTTCCCACCCACCGGCCCCAAAGCAGATGGACACAAGATGTCCTTGCCCGGTGTCCTTGAAAACAGGCAGGGCTGGGTTTTCTCGGTGGGAGAGGCAGGTTTGGTTTCTGTCCCTGCTGGGGGAAGCTGGGAGCTTAGTTTAAGCAGGGGTAGGGTTGCGGTTCAGAGGAGCCTGAGCGGAGAATCCGGGAACCAGAATCGGTCCTGGGTAAGAGCGACAAGGGACCGACCCGAGGTTGGGGTCAGCTGGCATGTGATTGTTGGTGACTGTGATGGCCCCGTTCATCACAGCGCGCCTCCCGTTCCGACACTGCCCTGCCGCTGAGAGCAGCCTCCTGCAGGGGAGAAGCTGGGTCCCCCCAGCAGCCTTGCCAGTAGGCCGTCAGGGCTGCTGTTTACAGATGAGGGAGGGAAGGCCCCGTGTGGTCAGCTGCCTCGCTCAGCACCGTGCAGTAGCCATTATGTAACCGCCAGACCTTACCTAACACTTGCAGATCCTGGGCTGGTATTTTTAGCCCCACGTGGTCACAGTTGAAAAGCTTGTTGTCTGAGTCCCTGGAGAATGGGTCTCACGGTTGCCACTCCCTGTGGCCACACTCAGCCGTGGGACCTTCCCTGTGGCTTCCGTGTGTGGTCCCAGGATGTCTGACCCCAGGCACGCTTACACCGGCAGCTCAGCCATCTGCCTGGGACGTGTGGAGGGGGCGGGAGCAGGTGCACAGCGGTCGGGCGGGCACGCTCTTCACCATCTTCCTCTCCCCCTGTCTCCCGGGTCCCATCCTTCTACTCCATCACATCTCCCTGTGTGCAGGCTGGGAGAGCACCCTGGCGTCCCACAGTGAAGACAAAGGAGCGGCATCACTGTGCTCCGCTCCCCGAGTCCTCAGGCTAGCAGTCAGCACAGATCTTTGTGAGCTAATGCCAGGAATGAAGGTCTACACCAGCGAACGGGAAGACGTATAAATGCAGTTAAACCACTTCTAACATGAGTAAAATCACATGCAAAACACGTTTGTGGATTCAGGACCTGAGCAGAGAGGTGTGTGTGGGGGAGAGAGGATGGCCCTCCAAGACCGTGGGCATGCGTGCAAGGACAGAAACCTGCCAGAAAGTTCTTGCCCTGGCTGCGGGAAGGGGTGCTGGGACCCAGACCAGCAGGGGTGGTGCTGGGGAAAGTGGAAAACAACCACAAGTCCATGTGAAGGAGAAATGGCAAGATTTGGAAGCAGAGCGGAGAGGGGACGGGCACCACGGAGGAGCCAGAGCTGGTGGGGTTGCAGGGGTGGGAGGAACGGGGGGTGGTTGGGGAGTATCCAGGTGGAAATGTCCACCAGGACGAGGAGGTGAGACCTAGGGCCTGGGCAGGGGATCAGACCAGGAGGAGTGACGGAAGAAGCTGGGGCATGGATGAAATGGGTGAGGTCTTCCCGGCCAGTGTGCGCACTCGGCTCGGCGCTCCACATGCCGGGTCCTCGCAGCAGCGGGCAGTGAACTCACATTGGAGATGAGCCTGGAAGGCTGGCTGGAAAGGTTTTTCAAGGAGTGCGGAGGCATTCATGTTGCATATGGGCTCCTATGTTAGGGGGAAGAGGGTGCACGTCCCTCTAGGGGTGAATTTATTGGCCTGGGGACGAGGTTACTCCTTTACAGTCGCTGTGATCTCCATTACAACTTTGATTTCTATTAAACACCCTGGGGAGTTCGTGACTTGAAGGTCCTTTCACCATTTACCCTCATGTGGCTGCGCTGTGGGCTGGCGAGCTCAGTCTTCCTGCTGGTCCCCGAGCGTCGGCCCCTTCCTGGTCTGGGGTGGCCTCTCTCTCTCTCCTCCATCATCACTGCCATCTCTCTCGTGGGCTCCCAGTTCACCCACATCCAGCAAAATGCTCTTTCTCGATGCTTTCCCAGTCTGCCTCCATCTGAAACAAATACATGTGTTTGCTGTAGGAGTGTAAGTTTGTAGAGGGGGGTACGTAGGGACCGGGAAGCCAGGAGCAGGGGGGTTACAGAACCGTGGAAACCCTCTTGGGGTGTCTCCTCCTGCCCTCTGTGACCACGCAGGGGTGACCCCAGAAGCAAGTGCCCCGTTCTGGTAAGTAGGGTGCTGAGAGCCTATGTCCCTTGGACCTGGGTAGGAAGCATGACTTTGGGACCCCAAGGAGGAGAACAGAGCAGAGCTTGGCCATGGTGTCAGGGCAGCCTCAGGGTCGAAGCACGGTGGCAGCCTGTGGGGCAGGAGTGACTCTCCCTCCCGCTGATGCAGGCCTGTGTCTCTGCTCCCCCTGCAGCTGGTGCTTCCGGAATATTCCATCCACAGCCTCTTCTGCATCATGTTCCTGTGTGCTCAGGAGTGGCTCACCCTGGGGCTGAACATCCCTCTACTTTTCTATCACTTCTGGCGGTGAGTCTGCTCGGGACTGCTCTGGGCTTCTTCCCTTCTGCGTGGGCAGTCGGCCCTGCAGAGACAGTGTCGTCCAAACAGACCAGCTGCCCCGAGCCTCTCCTCCCTCCCTCCCCTGTCTTTCGGAGACCCGTTCTTCCAGCAACTCCTGGGTGGCGGCCCTGTCCCTCAAGGGACTGGTGTTAAGATTCACAATCTTATGATTTTGCGTGATTCACAATTGTCCACAAACGGAAACCATCCAGATTGTTGTCAACAGGGGAATGGGTAAACAAAATGCGGTATGTCCTTGCAAGGACGTGTGATTTGGTGATAAAAGGTAATCACGTACCGACACATGATGTAACATGGGTGACAAGGGAAAGAAGCCGGTCCCAAGAGGCCATTTATGGGAAAGGTCCAGAATGGGCAACTCCGAAGAGAAGGGAAGTAGATAGGTGGTTGCCAGGGGATGGGAGGGAAGGGATGGGGACAGCTAAGGGGTACGGGGTCTTCTTCGGGTGTGACCAGGTTCTGAAGTAGATACTACTGAGAGCCAGAAAATTCTGTGAACATGCCAACAATCACTGGATTGTATACTTTTAAAAGGTGAACTTTCTGGTATGTGAATTCTATCTTTTTTTTTTTTTTTTGATTTTTTTATCCTAGACAGCGAGAGAGTGGGGGCAGAGGGAGAATTCCAACCAGGCTCCACCCGCAGCATGGAGCCTGACCTGGGGCTCAATCTCGTGACCCTGAGATCACGACCTGAGCTGAAACCAAGAGTCGGATGCTTAACCGATGAGGCCCCCCAGGAGCCCCCGAATTATAGCTTAATAAAAAAATCACCTACCAGATGGGCTGGATTTTCTGGGACACTTCTGATTTTAAATATTCTATTCTCTGTCAAGACTACGCATCAGATCATGTGATCCGGGCTTTCTGTAAAATCTGGTCACCATCTGGACTTAGGGCGTAGGAAGGGGGGACTGGAGTACAGAAGGCAGCTGTGCAGGTGAACGAACCACCCTTTGCCCCTTGCTCCCAGAGCTTCCATCCCACCAACATCTCATCACTCATTTTACCATAAAATGTAGCCTGTGTTTGTCACGTCTGGGGTGCGCACTCCTTCATCTAGCAGACATGGGAGGCACGCCCCATACCGGGCACTGGAGGGGACTGCCATGTGGATGTGAGACAGAAGCTTTACCCTCGAGGAGTGTGTACTCCAGTGCCACAGGGAAGCAGAGTCTTAGCAGACGTGAGGAACACACTTAGGCACGCAGGGAAGCAAACATGTGAGTTAGACTGGTACGGGGACGGTGCCAAATAAGAAGGTTGGGGGGCTAGCGTGGGCACAGGCTCGGAGGTAAGACAGCACTCAGTGTGTTGGGGAAGGGCCCTGGTTCAACGCGGCCGCCTGCAGGGTCCTGGGGGAGACGTGAATGGGCGTGAATCGATGTAGGCTTGACAGACAGCAGAGGGTCCGGAACTCTCCGCTGGGGAAGTTGGGATCAACGTATTCTGTAGGAAGTGGAAACTCTCAGCAGCTTTTGGGGGAGAAAGTGGCATTGCCTGATCTGAGTTTTAGGAAAGCAACCGGTGGCAGCTGTGCAGATGGGTAGGACGGTGAACTTGTGAATCTGGAATTAGGAGGTCACCATGGACTCGCAGGGGAAGAGAGAACGGAACTTGACTCCTAGTGTGACTAAGCAGTGGATGTTGGAAGAGACAGAGAGGGTCCGTGGAGGTGAACTTGGCCTGTGAGCAGGTGCAAGGGGCGGGGCAGAGGCAGCCTTGAAGGAGGGGATGGCGCCACTGACGGGGGGCAGGAGAAAGCACAGGTTAGGAAGAAAAGAAAATGACTCACTTACACAAGAAAATCCTGCTGTTGTTGTCATTTTTTATAAATATTTAATTTATTTATTTGATCTATAGAGAGAGTAAGCAAGAGAGAGGACACAAGCAAGGGGAGCGGCGGGCAGAGGGAAAGGGAGACTCCCCGCTGAGCAGGGAGCCCACACAGGACTCAACCCCAGGACCCTGAGATCATGACCTGAGCTGAAGGGAGGACACTTCACTGACTGAGCCCCACAGGCACCCGCGAGAGAGTCCTGTTTTGAGTGAGCGTAACCCCCTGAGGTCTGAGCTTGGAGAGCAGTCAGGTGGGAACATGGTGTTGGAAAGTATTTCCTGCCGGCTCTGGGACTGTGTGGGCTCAGCTCACCCAGTATCCACACAATCGGGTGAGCACAATCTGGTGAGCCGCAGTCCCTTCTCTGATTCAACCATGGGTGGGGGGTGGGGACTGGCGGCTCACAAGGTTAAAGCACCCCCCAGGGTCGCTGAGTCAGGACAAGGAAGGGCCGGTTCAGCCCCGCCTCTGTATGGATCAGTCGTCCTGTTGCCCCGGGTATCAAAGACATGGTGGCTTTATGAGACTCTGACTGGTGCCCTGCTTCTCAGGGCCATTGGCGGGGAGGCGTGGGCGGGGGGAGGGGGGAGAGGGAGGCAGGAGGCGGGAGTGGCTATGGTCTCTTCATCCCCAGGGTGAGGACTGCCTTTGTCTGACCATCTAGCCTACTTCCAGAAATTCCTAAGTGCTCAGGAAATGAAAAGGCATGAGGAGCAGAGGGTCCTTTGGAAATCAGAGTCCTTGAACATAGACTTCCTTGGGTTTCTGCTCCCGCTTCCCCCCGGGCCCAAGCCAGGACGCTGTCCCGCCGACCCAGCTCTTTCTTAGATGCTGGTGGAAAGCAGCGGGGCACATCCATCTGGTCCTGTATCGCATCCTACACCCAGTCGTCTCAATGCATTTTTGTCCCCATTTTACAGATGACAAAGCTGAGGCTCGGAGGGGTCAGTGATAGGCTGGAGGAAGGTCGGTCTGGTGGCCGGTGACCCACAGAGCCCTGACTCTCTCCACTGAGCTGCTTGGCCGCCTGGCCCCCTGGGCCCCATGGAACGAGTTCTCACCAAAGGCCCCTTGTTTGCAACCTGCCCCTGGAGAGGCGAGGAATGAGGCCTGCCAACTGGCAGGCGTCACTGAACCCAGCTTTTGCTGTCCTCCTGGCACCCTGTGATGACCGACATTGTCGCTGTCCTTTGGGGTGTGAGGATGGGCTAGAACACCAGGGCCCAGGTTCCTAGCGACAGGGCGCTCTTCCGAGCCCAGGGGTCCTCTGCTCAGGGCCTCTCTCCGGCCCGGCCTCCAACCTCCTTCACTTAGTGACAGACCACAGCCCGCTGAGGCCCTGCCAGGGGCCAGAGCCCCGGGGTAGCCCTCGTGTCCCGCCCAGCCTCACCACCAGAGTCCGGCCTCTGCTGGGTGTTTCCATGGAGATACATATAGCTTTGCTTCAGCCTCCCCTGTCCCGCGCCCTGTGCTCTCACTTCACTGGGTCCCTCTGCTGCTCTCTCCCCGCCGAGGCCAATGCGCTTTGGCTGTTCTGGGTCCTTCTACCAAGAAGAAAAATGTCTGAACTCCACCACACTCCCATGGGAAGGTGACATCCTTTCCCTAGCATTCTGGATTTGAAAAGTGGAGCTGCGTGGAGAACAGCATGAGACCCAGGGTAGAACGTGGTCGGTGGCAATGCCACCCCTCGTGTCACCATCCCTCTTCTGGGCTGACACCCACAAGGGGCCCACAGGAGCAAGGAGGCCCTTCTCGGTGCCTCCAGGTGACTCAGTTTCCTTCCATCGGGTAGCTCGGTCTGCGGGCGCAGTCCCCCTGGTACCGGGGGATCTCAGTATCTGGAGTGGCTCTCAGGGCCAGGCAGCAAAGAGGGCAGAGTTCCCTCAGATGTCCTTTCCGAGCCCCAGAGCCAAGGATGTTGTGTTCTCTGTCCCTGCAGGTACTTCCACTGTCCGGCTGACAGCTCAGAGCTTGCCTATGACCCACCGGCGGTCATGAATGCGGACACCTTGAGCTACTGTCAGAAGGAGGCCTGGTGTAAATTGGCGTTCTATCTGCTGTCCTTCTTCTACTACCTTTACTGGTGAGTCTCTGTCCCTCTGGGCCTCTGGGTCCTGCAGGCACTTTGTACCTCCTGCTCTTGGCGGGGGTGGGGGGTGGCAGCTGTGAGGGTGGGTGTTGCAGCCATGTGGGTCTGAGGCCAGCCGTCTGACTCGGTTGGGAGCCTGGGCTTGTGCACAGAGGCAAGGGGGGTGGGGCGGGGTGGAGGGTTCTACAGGAGGCCTGGCTCCTGGCAGGCACATCCATAGGACCTCACAGAGAAATGCATTGTCCTTACCCTCTGGGTAGGCGGTTGGTGACATGCAACTAGTCACTCCTTCCCCATGGAGCTCCCTCCCCAGCTCAGCCCCTTGGGTCCCCTGCAGCCCCTAGTCTGCGTGGGAGCTTCTGGGGAACAGAACAGAGACCCTGAGGGGTAGTCGTGTGTCTCGAAGGGGCACACGAGGTCCTCATGTGCTCACATTCACGTTCTCCCGATGTTACACGGCACCACGCTAATGAGGGAAACTGTGCTGACGTTGTGATTGTTTGGCGCCCCGCCCCCTGCCCCGCCCGTCTGCACCTCTGCACAGAGTGGCCCAGGGAAGTAGATGGCTGTAAGCAGCCTGCCTATGGCCGGGCGCCCAGAGTGCCTTTTCTTAAAGTGTCTCCCTCCTGTTCCTCTTGGGGGCCCCCTCCTGGGCGCTGTCGATCCCCAGGCGAGGAAGAGGAGGGTGGGGTGTTAGCAAGGCCCCCCGGCTTGGGGCGGGCTGAGAGGGGGGTGCTGCATTGATCCACATTTAAAAATGAGCCGTGCTTTGAGTCAAGAGCTCAGCCTGGGGCTCAACACCTTCATTGCCCAGACAGTAACAATCAGGAGATGGAATCCCAGATGTCCGATGTTTTCCCATGTCGCAGCTAATAGTGCATCTTAAGTCTGATCCCAAATGTGTGTGTGTGTGTCTTGGGGGGAAGGGTGGCTCCTGTCCGTTGGCTGAGTGTGACCATCCTATAAACATCGTGTCCCAGACATTCCATTCAGCCGTCTGTCCTTTTGTTCAGTCTGGCTCTGCCTTTGTGTTGCATTTACTAATTACTTTGTTGCTAAACGTGATTGGAACTGCTCCTCTTGCCTTGCAGGGACTTTGGGTGGCAGCCAGGACTCCCCCTTATTTGTTGAACTTGGCGTCTTGGGGCTCTGCAGAGCTCCTCCAAGGCCGTGTATCTGCAGCTCTTGAACTCCCAGCCCCTTAGAGCCTGGGCTTGTGGGCACACGGAACTGTCAGCCCCGGCTACTCTCATGGGGGGCGGGGAGGGTGACCCATGCACGTGGACAGCTGCATCCAGGCTGAGCACAGTGACGGACTGAAGTGACAGCTGCTGGGATCTTGGGGTTGGCATTTCATAGGCCCTCCCAGTGATTAAGAAATGTGTCCAGGGCCCTGGCTGAGACGCGTTTGTCTGGTCCCAGAGCCCAGGCTCTTCTCCGTGTCCTGTGCTAACCACCCCAGCAGGTGCCCCGTGGACCAGGAAATGAGCACAGGTTCCTGGAATTGATCCTAGCTAACACAAACGCGAACACTAGCAGCTTAGTCCAGTGTGGGTGACCTGCCCGCACCAGATAACCATCTGTCAAACCAGGAGGGGGAAGTAGCACCAGTCCCCTGCCCGTTCCTCCAGGTCACAGCTGCCTCCTCCTTCAGGTTTTCTCCTCTCCCTGTATGAGCATCTTCTTGCCGGCTGGCCTGGTGTCAGACCCCCTGCAGGTCTCGTTTGCCATGTGTCTGCGGTGCCCTGGCCGGAGTGTGGTGCACACTGGGAGCCCACGAGCTCCTCGTTATCATGGAAGCTTCTCTCTGTGCTCCCTCGAGGCAGGTGTCAGGCTGCACGCTCAGCACTGTCTCTCAGCACCGAGGATGGGGCCTGGCATGCAGGAGGTGCTCAATAAATGCTGAATGAGTGACTGAAAGTCTGAAAGTGAGTAGAGCGGGTAAAGGACACCCGTGACCTCACTCGGTGTCATTGTGGAGAGAGCACTGGCTTTGGCCATGGGACGTGGCTCCTTGCCTTGCCCTCCCTGGCTCTGTGACCTTGAATGATCTGCTTCTTATGCAACCTCCCCCCCAACCCTGAGTGCAGGGAGACCCTCCAACTCCTGTCTGACCAGTCATGCTCCGTGGACACAGGTGTTACTGGGTTCTCAGAGACGGCACTTGAGCTGCTCAGAGGAGCTCACCGGGCCTTGGAAGCTGGATAGGGTTAGACATAAAACAGAGTAACTTCCCTTGGTTTCCTTTCTCAGATGATCCTTCTTCCTCTCTCTTATGTGAACAGGTAGTTGTTTTCTTGGTGCCAGGAGGGCAAAGTGGTATATTTTGTCATGGAATGTTCCTTGATGTTGCAGAATTAGCCCGCAGCCCTTGCTAAAAACATAGGGTTGCGTCACTCCTTCCCTGGTAGAGTCGGGGCACAACCTTAGGACACATGCTCTTAATGCATGCTCAGTGCCTGGATTCGGTTAAAAGCCAGAGTTTTCAACACGTAGGGAGTGACCCAATTCAGAATCCATGTCTTTTTTTTTTTTTTTTAAGATTTTATTTATTTATTTGTCAGAGAGAGAGAGGGAGAGAGAGCAAGCACAGGCAGACAGAATGGCAGGCAGAGGGAGAAGCAGGCTCCCTGATGAGCAAGGAGCCCGATGTGGGACTCGATCCCAGGACGCTGGGATCATGACCTGAGCCGAAGGCAGCTGCTTAACCAACTGAGCCACCCAGGCGTCCCAGAATCCATGTCGTTTTTGTGCCAGAGGGCCTGCATTCACGTTGGTCCTCGGAGCAGAGGTGACAGGCATCTCCCCAGCAGTGGGGTATCATGCGGCATCACAGAAGCATATGTGGCAGGTGGCGGGAAGAGAACCCCTCGCGCCCCACCCCGGGGACCTGCTGTACAGTTGCAGGAAGGAGGAACAGCCGCCAGATTGTCCACGCGGGTGAGGGTAACACCCTGCATGTACAGCAATCACATCTACTACCCGAGGGACTCAGTACGCGCTCACAGCACAGGTGTTGTCCGATGTGGTGGAAGGAGTGGGGCTCCAGAACCGGGATGAGAAAGAAGCCATGGGGTCTGGCGTGGGGAAGGACCCTCGGGTGAGGGTCAGTCTGAGTCCCTCACAGGTTCCCGCTCACTCCTTCTCTTCCTTTTCTCTCTGCCTTCAGCATGATCTACACGCTAGTGAGCTCTTAACTCAGACCACGCACGTCCTCCAAGGCTGAGTTCACGGGTGTCAGGCCCAGATGGGGACGCATGAGAGACAACTGTGGACTGTGGGCTCCCGCAGCAGCGGTGGGCCAAGCTTACCGAGCGCAGGGATCACTGCCCAGCCTGTGCTCGGGTCGCGATCCCTTCTGGGCCATGGGACCTCTCCTGGGCAAGGACTGCCGCCTCCTGAATGTACGCCCCTCTCCGACAGCTCCGTGCCATGCAACAGAGCCCCAACACCACGGGAGGGGCAGCTGGCAGGCTGCAAGGGGCCTGCCCAGAACAGAATGACCTAGGATCCAGGCCGAGTGTGTGGGACCCGCTGAGCCTTGAGGGTATCGTGGGCTGTCTGAGCCTCTCGTGTTTCTTTGGACCCCTGGCCATGCCCCGTGCTTCCGCGGGACAGCTTGGAGGGTGCACGGATTTGCCTCCCGCTCCAACTGTCCCTGAGCCCGCAGGCTGTCTGTTTCCACGCTCTGCCATGAGAGAGCCAGCTTGGCCATGCCAGAAATGCAGCTCGGGGCTGTACGTCAGTCATGAGTTATCTCCAAAGTCAAGGGGAGGTGGGAATTCGAGGGAAGAACGATTTTGTAAAGCATTCACAGGTTCCAAGTATTAGTTCTTGGCCCCCACAAATGGTACTCTTCAGCCGTCAGTCCAAAAGCATCACGGAACCCATGAAGGCCGATGGATGGCTTCCCCGTGTCCAGCTGCCTTGTGTCAAGGACCACACGACCAGAAAAGGCGGCAGTGTCTGCTTTGTGCCCGCACGGCCGGCGGCCGGGAAGTGACTCCGCAGTCACGTGCTGCTGCCTCATTCCTTCTGTTCGCTCCATGTGGGGACATCCGCTGGTTGAGAATTTTCCATTCCACATTTCCATTCGACATTCCCCCCTCTTTGGGTGGGAGTTGTTCCCGAGCGTTGTAAATAATGACAAGGCTGAGATGTTTGATGTTTAAATTGGACACAATGATTTCCAACTTGTTCCCCGACCCTGCTTTCCTTTCTTCTGTTTGACACGTACAGGCTATTTATACCCGCTCCCGGCTCCCATCCGAGGCCTGTGACTCAGGTTTATGAATGGTGTTTGTGTGACGTGTCGTGCGTTATGGTTGAGACGTGGTGGCAGCTTGGGCGTCTCATCCGCCTACCTGGCTGGTCTTGTCTACACCCCGATACAGGCTGCATTGGGCTCTGTGAGCTTGGTGCATTAGGAAAAAGCTTCCAAAAGGTGTTTTGCTTCTAAAAATTGTACAGAGAACAAAACACAGATTTTTTGCTCTGAGCCTGAAGCTATAAAACCAGGAGATTCCGGGTGGTGTTTTGGGGAGCAGAGCCCCCTTGTCTAGGCTGGGTAGCTGGAGGGTTGGCCGGCCCCATCTCTGAACCCATTCCTGAGAAGACAGGCTGCTGGAGGGCGTGACCCACCACACTTCTCACCCCAGAGTGTCTTGTTTGCTTTCATAATTTGCCTCCTTCCAGAAAGATGCGATGGGGCTCGTAGCAGCAGACACAAGTACAAAGAGATCATTAAAATGGAAGTAGGGAATTCGGACCCATAAAGGGGGATGCACCGACTTCCCAAGGTTCTGATTCCTGAGACCAAACCTTGAATGTTGCCTTCTCTTTGCAGTAAAAGGTAGTCCACGTTTGCCTAGAACTTCACCTTCTATAGGTTCCTTTTGCTTCCTGTTTGACCTTCCTCACAGTCCTAGGAGGTCAATAGTTTCCTTTTTCCCATTGTCTAAGTGAGGAAGCAGAAGCTCAGAGAGGGTAAGTGACTTAACTGTAGTCACACAGAATCCACAGACCTGCCTTTACACCCAGGTCGTCCGACTTCAAAGACCCCGTGTCCTTTCCATCCCCTGAAAGCCAGCGAGTGACGTAGCTTAGGCTCCTAGGACGGTTCGATTAGCATAAAAATTTTCGAGATAGGGAGACTTAAAGATGTAGAATTATAGACAAAGTGCCGGGTTTTCTTTTCCTCTTGCGTGAGCCTCAGGCTTGCTTTATCGTGGCGGGTTCTTCCCCAGGGGGATTCCTCTGAACGCTGTAAGAGGCGTGAGTGCACAGACACCCCAGGACTTCCCTCCCACAAGCTGTGACCAGGAACCCTTGTGGCTACTCTGTCAGGACCTTCAGCCATTTTTGGGTCCTGCGAGAGCTAATAATGACCACGGGGTGTGAGAGCCATGCTGGGTGCCCATCTCTGGGCCATGACGTTGCCAGACTCATGGCGACCCCACAAAGCAGGGGGTGTTTTTATCCCCGTGTTAGCGACGAGGAAGCCAGGGAAGCTCCGGTGGGTGAGTCTGCCCCAGGGACCGAGCCAGACCAGGGCTCGGGGCTGCGCCTGAGTGGCGGATGGTGATCACAGCTCTGAATCGAGGTGTGGGACGGACGTTACTCCAGGCGCTCCCCTCCTAGCAGCACCGTGGGGTCGACGTCCTCCCCATTTTATAGATGAGGACGTGGTGGGCCCTCAGAGATCTTCAGCCTGGAAGGGGTGGGCAAAGCTGAACCGGCATCCAGGCCCACATGTGCCTCCCTCCCACGTAATGTTGCGTGCTGGGGTATCTTTTTCCATCATTGTTCATCCCACTAAAATGACCACAGGCAGGGTGGAGGGCGGAACACGGGACAGTGCTCTGGGTAAATCCCCAAAGTGACTGATGGACAGCTCTGCCCGCCCTGCACAGCTCTGGCCACCCTGGAGAGAGGCTTTGGGGGCACAGGCAATAGGGAAGGGGCTCTGGGAACCTGATTCCTGCTTCCTCAGAGACACAGAACATTGGCCTGCTGTGCCCAAAGGGGCAGAGTGGGACCTTGGGGGGTCACTTATTTTCATGTCGCTAAGTCACGTAGATGGTTACACCTAGGTCACCCGACTTCAAAAACCCCATGTCCTTTTCATCCCTGACTCGTTAAGTTAAATGTGATCATATTTGCAGAGAACTGGGAAAAGTGCCCTGCATGTGGGAAGTCAGGTAAGAGATCCCCTGCTGTGGGAGGGTCGCCCTCACTGTCCTCACTCTGCCCTGTGCACATCCAGGTTCAGGACCTCGGTGGGGAGGGGACATCACCTGGACCAGCTGCCTGCCTGACTCCTCATTCCGGCCACAGTACCTCAAGCCCTCTTTCCAGCACCGTGCTCTCCAGCCCGCGACAGCTGCCCTCCAAAGCTTGCCCTGTGCATTCCCACGCAGAGCACGCCGTGCGCACGGTCTCACTTAACCCCACAAGAGTATCTCGAAGTAGGAGCTGTCCCCGGGTCCGGTTCATAGTTCCAGAACCGAAGCTGGGGACATCTCATGAGTGACAGTTACCTGGGAGGCAGGGAGCCTGGACTCCAACCCATGTCTGTTTGTCTGCTGGGCTCTGGCCACTTTGCAGTCCTGAAGGGGTGCGGCTGGACAGGGACGGAGCAGGGAGAACGGGATAGGCACAATCCCAGAAGTGTGGCCAGCGCATTTCCCTTCTCCACAGCCAGTAGCTCAGGTTCCGTGACCTGGCGGCATTCGGGAGGATCTGCTCTACTGGGTCTCGTGCAAGCTTCCCGATCTTTCTGGTACCGACCTTTCCCCTCTAAGGTGGGGCAAGAATGCCTCCCTTGCTAGTGTGGTTGTGATCATCAGAGTGAGTTATGTGCATAAGGCTTGTGCAAAAGGCTCGGCACACCTTGGTCCTCAGTGCCTGGCTCCCCTCTTGCCCTCTAAGACTTGAAGGGAAACTTCCCAGAATAGAACCTCAGCTGCCTTCCTTTCAGCCCTCTCAAGATCTCCCCTTTGCTTCCTATTTCTAGGCTTGGCCATTGCACCAATGTTGACTGAAGCTATCACTGTTGAGAAAGTTTTGTTCTCCTACGGGAGAGCTGAAGAGAGGCAGCAGGTGCTTTGGCCACTGCACAGACCCCTTTCTAAACCCTTCCCGTTACCGGGCTGGGGCTCCTCCTTTCCAAACTGCGTGCTGGTGACCGCGGTCCAGTCTCAGGGCAGCCGCCTGGGCCGTGAGGCTTAGGCGGAGGGCTGTGGTTACTGTGGTCACTGGGACATACCCTGGATTGGGTTTTGGCGGCCCCCACGCCCAGGAGCCAGGGGCAGGGTAGCAGGCCGCAGCACAGGGCCTCCCAGGATTCATCCCACACCTCATCACGACCATTTCTGCTCCCAGCCCAGATGGCTTCACCCCAGCCCAGATGGCTCTGGGCACCCCAAGAGTGTCTTCCTGTGCTTGACCTCTCAGCTGCTGTGCGATGCCCACCCAGTCTTCCTTCCCAGCTGGCAGAACGCTGGGCTGTGGGGGCTGCTCGCTACATTTCTAAGGGCTCTTGCTCTGAACACGGCCCTTATGAAAACCGCTTGTGTAAGCTCACAGTGAAATAAATCCTATTCCAAACAAAGGTAATGTATAGTCAAAGCTCACCACCTCCTGGTTATTTCACGGCATTTTGCATTCTCTGTGGTTGGAGGTTCTGTCTGCTGTGCATATGGGGGGATCCCTGTGGGCTGAGGCTGGGAGCTGGAGGTTGGCCGCAGTGGGCACATTTGCACCTGCGGGGGACCGCGTGCCCTCCTCTCCCCTGCGTGCTACCCCAGGGCCCAGTGCTGAACGTCGACCAGTACCCGGGGTTCACGTCCACTGGCTGCAGTACAGCTATGCTCCAGGAGCCGGCGATTCCATGGCAGCTGGCAGCCAGCCCCGCTGAGGCTGTGTGCACCAGAGCCCAGTGTCCAGAACCCTCAGGGCCAGACCCACCACCCCGGCAGTGACACCAGCAGCTCTCACTTATGCACTTTGTCCCCAAGAGGTGATTGGACTTCTCAGCTGAAAGTCTGGAAGGTCTGGAATGCTTCTGAAGTGTGAACGTGCTTCTGAACTTGGACCCTGGTGCCCCTGAATTACCTTGGGGGCCACCCTCCTTCCTGGAGGGTGGGTCCCATCCCAGGGGTCTTCCAGGTCCTGCAGTTGGACACCTGCATCCCAT